GGGTAAATGATGACGTGGATAGGTCCTCGGTGCGAGGCTGCTAGCGAGCTGTATCCACCCTGAAGGTTAATCTTGGACAATATCTGACGATCGGCTCTTTTACATGGAACCAGAGAGCGTTGACAGAGAGGAAAAGGTAGAACAACTCAGCCTGTAACTGAAAATATGGATGGAGGACCTCAGTTTAGCTTGTTAGTTTGTTGTGCTAGCGCCGAGTTAATACATAAGGCAATATAGCGTCAGCGCTAATGCTAAAGCTAACAGGCTAAGCTGAGGTTCTTCTTCCATGAAGCAGCTCTGTTCCATATTTTCAGTTTCAGGCTGAGTCATTTCTACCTTCTTTGTCAACGCTCTCTGGTTTCATCCAAAAGAGCCGATCGTCAGATATTGTCCAAGATTAACCTTCAGGGTGGATATAGCTCGCTAGCAGCCTCGCACCGAGGACCTATCCACGTCATCATTTACCCAGAATGCTTTGCGTGTAAATAAAATGGCTCCATCCGTGTTAAAATAGATTTTTAAAAATTTACAAAACTAAACAGCCTGCAGTATTTTTACAGTCTTTATTTTACATTTTAAATAAATGTTTATCAAAAAAGTCTAATGTTACAACTAATCAGGGATCCCTTTAAAGAATGCTTACCGACTGCCAACAGTTTAAATCACATATCTCATGAGATCTGTTAGGTCTCACAACAAAATCTGTAGAACCTGTAAAACAAATCTGTAAAATCTGTTTAAAGAAACAAAACAAAAAATAAAATAAAATAAAATAAACAGTCAAACCTGTAGAACCTGTAAAAAAGCTGTAAAACTTGTAAAAAATGCTGTAAAATCTGTAGAACCTGTTAAAACAGTAGAACGTTAAAAAAGCATTAAAATCTGTAGAACCTGTTAAAACAGTAGAATGTTTAAAAAGCATTAAAATCTGTAGAACCTGTAAAAAGAAGGTTGTAAAATTTGTAAAAAAAATTAAAAACTGTAAAAAGGTGTAAAAAACAGTAAACCCTGTGTTTGTTCGAGCTCATTTGATCCTTATATTAGAGGTTTCTGAACTCCAGCTCGGCTCTGAATGACTCAAAGTTCATCCTGGCCTTACTGCTTCCACGCTGTACTTAACCTATTTAGCTTCATCGCTCTCTAGACCGCGGACCATCGTCATCCTCTTCATCATCACCTTCACATGTCCCCACTCTTCGTCTGTCCCGTCTCTTCTCACCTGAAGTGTCTCTGTGCTTCCAGTACCTCCTGAACCTCCTCGGAACCTGAGGGTTTTCAACGCCACCACCTCCACGCTGACGGTGAAGTGGGACGCCGCCCCCGGTCCAGTCAAAAACTACCGGATCACGTACAGACCGCTCGCCGGCGGCGACGCCCAGTCTGTAAGTTTCACCTGCTTTGAGCAGAAAGTTTCAGTTTTTAGAGGAGCACACTGACAGAGGAGCACCTGCACCGCCACCTGCAGGAAGGGGGGTGAAGTGTCTTGTCCAAGCAGGGATTTGAATGGGAGGACTTCCAAACCGCTCTGCCACAACCCTGCCCCGCTGTCTGAGCTTCTTTAAACAGCCGAGCCTCTGAAGACGTCCATGTTGGACGCTGGTGTTTATCTGTGGGCCACAGTCCAAACGTCTCAGCTGTCTGTGGATGTTTACAGCCTCCTGTTCGTGTCCTGATGGACTGCAGACATGTTTGTTCAGGATTTCCCAGAGACCGACCACCATGCCTTGCCTCAAAACAAATACTTCACTTTCTGCTGTCTAACTGTGGTAAACAGCTCGTGGACAGAATTTCAGAATCACTTGTCTCTGTGAGACACGAGACAGAGACAAAGACAGGTTCAGGACTTCAGCTTTTAGATGACTTCAAGATAAGAGCTGAAGGTTTTGATAAATAAAGGTTAAAACAGCTGAAGGAGTCTCATTGAGTGGGAACGCTGACTGTGAGAACGTCTGCTTTGAATCAGAGCTCAGCCTGCTGTGCGCTCTGTAAGAAACTGCTGAGTCATCAGCAACATGTTTGTTTTCTGTGTGCAGGTTCAGGTCGGGGGGAAGAAGACCAACATCATCCTGCCGCAGCTGCTGCCCGACACGCCGTACGGCGTCACGGTGGCCGCCGTTTACCCTTCAGGCGCCAGCAGAGACATCTCTGGAGAAGGAAAGACCAGTAAGAAAACCCGGACACACCTGAGCACCAGCAGACTCACAAACTCTAAGAAACAAAAGACCAGAGAGATTCAGTAGATTACGGCTGAAACCTGCCGGGTCTTGTGTTTCCGTCAGAACCTCTGGGCGGTGTGAGGAACCTGCAGGTGCTGAACCCCACCATGACCACCCTGAACGTCCGCTGGGAGCCAGCTGAAGGCCGGGTCAAGGAGTACAAAGTGATTTATGCTCCTGCTGCGGGAGGAGCTGAGAGCATGGTAGGACTGGTAGGAGAACCTCATCAGAACCGCCTCTCTGGACCGTGACGATGAAACCAGAAACCAGCAGGGTTTGTGTCTGTTAAAGAGTTTTTTCTGATCCGAAACCAGGAAACGGTGTCGGCAGGAACCACAGCCACGGTCCTGCGAGGCCTGCAGCCCGACACCCTCTACAGGGTCTCACTGGTTCCAGTTTATGGCAACGGAGATGGGAAGGTCATGTCTGAAAATGGAAAAACAAGTAAGACTGAGCTGTGAAACCTCAACGTTTAGACTTTTCCTAGCTCTGATAAAAGCCTGAGAACTTCTTTTTCTGTGAATCATAGAAAAGAACGAGGATGAAAAGGTTTTCTCCAACAGATCAAATGTGACTTTTGAAATATTTCATTTGAAACTAAAGACAAAATAAAATCTAGACGTCAGCTTTAGATCACCTGAGCTCTTTGTTGAGTCCTAACTAATAACTGCCTCTGATCCAGGGCCTCTGGGAGGTGTGAAGAACCTGAGGGTCACCGACCCCACCATGACGTCTCTGAACGTGGAATGGGCCCCGGCTGATGGAGCCGTTCGTCTCTACAAGGTCTTCTACGTCCCCTCTGCTGGTGGACGAGAGGAGATGGTGAGATGTTTGGACTTTCCTGCTGTCTGAGCTTTTTCCTGCTACCACCAGCTGTTTCTGGACTTCTGCTCCCTCTGACCCACAGGAACAGGTCCCTGCAGCGACCACCTCTATCGTCCTCAGGAACCTGCAGCCCGACACGCAGTACACAGTGTCTGTTCTGCCCGTGTACCCGGCCCGGGAGGGGAAACGTCAGTCTGAGGACGGAAAGACCCGTAAGCTGCTGAGAGACAGAAATGGTTTTATCAGGTTTTTTTCAGCCACAAACAGATCCAATGCTTTTCTCTTCTCAGTGCCTTTAAGCGGCGTCGGCGGCATGAAGGTGACCAACCCGACCATCACCACCCTCACGGTGAACTGGAACCCAGCTGGAGGCAACGTGCAGGGCTACAAAGTCATCTACACCCCCTCAGAAGGAGGCCTGGAGATCGTGGTAAGATCATGGAGTCTGGAGCTCTGAAAACAAAATCAAACCTTTAAAGCTCAGATCTGACAAGAAACTGACTTTTATTAATTCAAACTCTGGTTTTAACTTCAGGTGTTCAAATTCAGTTAAGTTTTAAGCAAATGCTTTCTCTCTGTCCTCGATAGTCTACCAAAAACACTGCAGTACCCACACAGCACCACCAGGGGGCCGGTGAGGATTCTTTAAAGGGCCAATATTATGCGTTTCTCAGGCATATATATTTAAAAACTATACCATAATAAAGTATCTATGTCACATTTAGCGGTTATTAAAAGACTGTTTTTGTGTTTAAATAGAAAATAAACTTATGTTCTCATCACTTCCTCTTCTAAACGCCTTGAAATTGGCCTCTGTCTCTTTAAGAACCATCTTCCGCTTCCGTTTTGCCCATTTCGGGGGGTGGGGTGCCATGATGCAGTTTACTTGGCATCTGAAAATACATTTCCTCAAAGGTAGTTTTAATCTGAAAAGAGCTTCACTGAGTGAGAACTAATTTTGAGAGCTCAGCAGACAGTTAGGTTTCACTTTCACTTTGACCCGAGAGCCTGCAGGAGTCGGGGTGTGTGGGGAGGAGGGGCAGGGGCGGTGTGCTCTGCCATGAGGAAGTTCGGCTTAAAGACACGTCCCAGAGGCGTTTCTGGTCCCAAAAGGCATTTCTGGTCCCCACCTGTCGTTTTGCTCCTCAGCATGGCTGCCTAAAAACGCAGCAGGATTTCTCAAACATGCATGAATGAGTCAAAGCAAGGCTTTGGGAATGTTTTTTTTATTAGAGTATATTACTACAACATGATATAAAACTCAAAAAAGTTGCTTTTACATGATAATGCCCCTTTAAACAAAGCTCAGGTCAGAGTCAGTGGATTAGTTGTGGCAGCCATCTTGAACTGGGCTGACATCATAAGTTACTCAATTTGACGAGTCAGCATGTTCAGAGCTGAAGCTCATCAAACCAACCCATCACAGCTGACAGGAAAGGATGAAAGAAGTAATGCTTTGTGACAGGATAATCCCACCAAGCAGCCGGCAGACTCAGAGGGATGTTTGTGTCTTCATGTCTCTAATGTGCAGCCTGTTCATATAAACTAACATCTTATCCATCAGACCTTTCTGTTTTACAAAGAACTGTCATTTCTGCAGGTTCAATTATTTCTCTCCAATATATGGTGTCAAATAAAATGTAGAAATTGATTTTTCTCACTTGACACAGTTTGATTGTCTGCTTTTATTACCTTGAGTTAAAAAAGTAGATTTACCTTCCAGGCAGCCAGAACTTCCTGTCCTCTTTGGTTGATCAGTGTTTCAAACTTCTGAAATTTTTTTCAAAGTTTTTCTTTATTTTCTTTCCTTTTCAGTCATTAATGTCCTAAACATTCAAACACACTTTTTTATTATTCTTCTTTTTTATCTGGTGATTTCATCACAAGTTTTCACTCTCCTTCTTCCAGCTTTTATACAGACTTTATCTGAGGCTTAATTTTTTAGGGTTGGAGGGTTGAACCTGGACTTTCAAAATAAGAGCATGTCTTTGATTCCTTCCTGTGCTTCTACAGGAGTCAGTGTCAGAGAGCACCACTTCCACAGTTCTGAAGAAACTCTTGCCGGACACACGCTACACCGTCACTGTGGTCCCCGTGTACGCAGAGGGAGACGGGCCGAGCCTGACTGACAACGGAAAGACCCGTGAGTTTCTGGATCCTCTCGGGCTCAGTCAGAACTACAAGACAAAATAAACCCACAATCTGAGAAACAGAACGTTTCACTATATTAAGAGGATGGATGGATGAATGGATGGATGATGGATGAGTGTATGATGGATGGATGGATGGATGGATGGATGGATGGATGGATGGATGGATGGATGGATGGATGGGTGGATGGATGGATGGTTAGATGGATGGATGGATGGATGGATGATGGATGGATGGATGGATGGGTGGATGGATGATGGCTGATGGATGGATGGATGATGGCTAGATAGATGATGGATGAGTATGGATGATGGATGGATGATGGATGATGGATGGACAATGAATGATGGATGGACGATGGATGGATGGATGGATGGATGATGGATGGACAATGGATGATGAATAATGGATGATCAATGATGGATGATGAATGATGGATGATGGATGGATGGATGATGTGTGGAAGATGGATGGATGGATTGATGGATGGATGATGGATGAATGGATGATGGATGATGGATAGTGGATGGATGATAGATGGATGATAGATGGATGATGGATGGATGGATGAATGATGGATGATGGATGGATGATGGATGGATGGATGGATGATGGATGGATGGATGATGAATGATTACGGTTTGACCCTTCATGGTCCATTGACTGGATGAAACCCTGAGGTTCTGGTCGAACTCTGATCAGTCTGAGTTTACTGAGGAGTGAACATCCTGTGACGACAGCAGCTCTGACCTCCTGCTTGGTGTTTCCTCTCAGGACCACTGGGATTTGTGAGGAACCTGCAGGTCACGGATCCCACCACCAGCACCTTAAACGTGCGCTGGGAGCCTCCAGAGGGAACCGTGCGTGAATACATCGTGATCTGGGTGCCGGCTGCTGGAGGAGAGCAGGAAGTGGTGAGAATTCATTCATGTGGAGCATGATTTTTTTTTTCTCCAGTGAGAACTCAGGTTTTTAAATGAAGACTTGTGTTGTTCTGGAGCTGCAGATCTTAGGTTTGGCTTCAGACTGAGGAAAGATGGGCCGGTGAAGAATAATTAAAGCAGCTGTGTCCAAGTATGAATAGATGAGAAGCTCTGGCTGATGTTGCTGTAAAATGTAGATTTTCTTTGAGTTAATAAAAACCAACTGAGCGTAAAGTGAGAGGGACTGACTGTTCTGTGTGAAGCTGTGACAGGTGGCGGGTTGGGTTTCATGGCCCCCAGGATGGTTTCAGAAACTATTGTCATTTCAGAGGGTTTGATCTGGAACCAGCTGAGATGAGCTCATCCTGCTGGCTGCTTTTATTTGAGCAACAGTTCCATTAAATATGGATTTAATCCCACTGTGAAGCTCCTGGATCAGTCTGAATAATAGAAATCAGCTGGAAGCATCAGACTCGTTATTCTGGCCTTTCTGGCCCAGTTCTACATGTTTACAGATGTTTGTTTGCTCTATGACCAGGACCAGGTACCTGGAACCACCACCAGCACTGTCCTGAAGAATCTGGACCCAGACACAGAGTACACTGTCACTGTGGTTCCTGTCTACCCTGAGATGGAGGGAAAATCTCAGTCAGAGAACGGAAAAACGAGTAAGTGGGATAAATATTTTTTATTTTCTTGTTGTAAGTCTGAAAGGAGGGTCTGAACTGGTTTTATGGAGAGTTGAATCTGACCCAGGTTAACCTGCTGCCCCTCCTCAGATCCTTTCGGTGGAGTGAAGAACCTGAAGGTGATCGACCCGACCGTCAGCACGTTGACGGTGCGCTGGGACCCAGCGGTGGGAAACGTCCAGAGTTACAAGGTTCTCTATGCAGCCCAGCCAGGAGGAGAGGAGCTGATGGTAAAATGAATCCAGCTGGGTTTTATCTGAGAGAATAAACAAATATCCAGGTTTAAAACAAAGTTTTCTCTCTGTTTCACAGGAGGAGGTGTCAGGCGGTACCACCACTACCATCCTAAGGAACCTGGACTCCGACACGCTCTACAACGTGGCTGTTGTTCCAGTTTACCCAGATGTGGAAGGAATCAGGCAGGAAGACAAGGGGAAGACAAGTGAGTGAACATCAGGAAACTGTTGTCCTGGTTTCTGTTCAGGTGAATCAAACCAAAACCAAATAGGATGTGAAGTATTTTCTGTTGTTTCTTCTCCCAGTCTTTAACAAATGAACGGTATCTCAATTGTTGGTGCCTCCTGACAATGATCTTTTATAAGTTTGTTCTTCAACAGTGCAGAAACAAAATGAACTGTGGAAATCAAAGCAGCTGCTCCACAAACACTCAAACTGTATTTTAAAACCCACTTCATACTGACAAAACAAAAAAAAAATTCTTAAATCAATATTTTTTAAAAAACCCAACATGTTACTAATGAGCCATGGCAAGTTTGTCCAAGTGTTGACAGGACCTTCACGTCAGAAAGTGATTTATTCCCAACAGAGCTGCCTGCAGCGTTGCAAACTCTTCAGATACTTCAGATGTTTGGATTTGTCTCATTGTGAAATCCTAAAACCTTCAGCTGAGACATTTGATGGCTTCAGATTGTTTCAGCAAGTCCTGGGAGCATTGCAGTATCTGCTGGTCTGTTCAGGAGAGGCTAAAACATGAGACACAGGATTAAAGGTGTGTCAATTTAAGACCTGTGGGTCAGATTTGTAATAATCATTTGGCCTTTAGAAAAATGTGAAAAACTAAAACTGGGATACCTACTGAACCATGACACTAAAACTGAGGTGGACACCAAACCATGACCCTAAACCGAGGTACTCATCAAACCATGACATTAAACCGAGGTACCCACTAAACCATAGCACTAAAATCGAGGTACCCACCAAACCATGACCATAAAACTGAGGTGGACACCAAACCATGACCCTAAACCGAGGTACTCATTAAACCATGATCCTGTTGTGTTCTGACCTTAAGCCGAGGTACCCACCAAACCATGACCCTAAAACTGAGGTGGACACCAAACCATGATCCTAAAACTGAGGTGGATACCAAACCGTGATGCTAAACTGGGGTGGACACCAAATCAAAACTGAGGTGGACACCAAACCATGATGCTAAAACTGAGGTTGGCACCAAAGCATGATGCCATAACTGAGGTTGACACCAAACCATCACCTTAAAACTGAGGTATCCATCAAACCATGACCCTGAAACTGAGATACCCATCAAACCATGACCCAGAAACTGAGGTACCCATCAAACCATGACCCAGAAACTGAGGTGGACACTAAACCAAGATCCTAAAACTGAGGTGGACACCAAACCATTACACTAAAACTAAAGTGGACACCAAACCATGACCCTAAAACTGAGATACCCACCAAACCATGACCCTAAAACTGAGGTACCCATCAAACATGATGCTAAAACTGAGGTACCCATCAAACCATGACATCAAAACTGAGGTATCCGTCAAACCATGACTCTAAAACTGAGTATCCCAATAAACCATGACCCTAAAACTAGGGTACACAAGAAAACACTACAGTTGAGGTTAACTCTGCCCATCTAGTGTAGCCTAGAGGATAAATCACTTTAGGTTACATCAGAACCTTTTGTGTCTCCTTTCTTTCAGAACCTCTGAGCGGGGTGAAGAACCTCCAGGTGACGGACCCCACCGCTAGCTCCCTGAAGGTGCGCTGGGACCCAGCCGAAGGCGACGTCCGGCAGTACAAGATCCTTTACGTCCCGATGGCTGGAGGACCCGAGAGCACGGTTAGTTCTTTCTCATTACAAAAACTTTCATGTTTCAACAACATAATTCATTTTTTATTGTTCGTTAATCACCTCAGATTTTATTCACTTCCTGAATCTTTTAATAAATTTCAATTTTTAACTGTTTCATAACTAACTCAGCAAAACTATGAATAAACTCTGACTGGCCACTTTATCAGGTTCACCTTACCAGTACCAGGGAGGACCCCCTCGGTCTTCAGAAGTGCAGAGGATAGAAACAATCCTGAGGTTCTGGTCCATACTGACATGTTAGCATTACAGTGTCATTGATGAGAATCTCCTGTACTATCAATCCCAAAGGTTCTGTTTGGACTGGTGACTGTGGATGTCGTTGGAGCCCAGTGAATCCAGAACCATCAAAACAGGAAACGTTCCTCCAGGCTCTTATTGGCTGGTACAGTCTAGGTTAACGGTAGCCTCAGTTTCCTGTTCTTTGCTGACAGGAAGTGATACCAGGTGTGGTCTTCTGCTGCTGGAGACCATCTACTCCAAGGCTGGATGGGTTCAGAGAAAGTTCTGTAGACTTTGGTTGGAACGAATGAATACTGTATCTGACCTGCTGTTTCTTTCCTGTCACCTCCCACCAGTCTGACCTCTGACCCAAACAAGTCTTATAGTCCTCTTTAAACCCTGGAGATGGTTTTGTAGTTTCTGAAACATAAGACCAACAACTACGCCACATTTATTTCTGGTTCTGAGGCCTGGTTTGAACTTAGTCAGGTGGTCTTCATTACTGTACATCAACGTCTGTAAAGGTACTGAGGTTCTGCCCTGTGATTGGCTGACCAGATCTTTGAACAGGTGGACCTAAAGAAGTGACTGTGTGTACTCTAACTTTACTGCAACTTTCACCTGAAATGAAAGAGATGAAGATTAAAGGCTAACATTTAGTTTGTTTTAAAGAATAATTTAGATGTAATCTGGAAGAAGATTATTAATCCAGCTTCATCTCTTTCAGATGGAAATAAAAGCTGCTGAATGAATCAAACCATTAAATCCCTCTGATGTTTCCAATCTTTACCTGAAGTTTTCTGTCTCCCAGACGTTGGTATCTGGACTGACCACCACCACGGTTCTGAGGGAGCTGCGTCCGGACACGGAGTACAAAGTGACGCTTGTCCCCGTTTACGCCGACGTGGAGGGAAAACGCATGTCTGAGAATGGAAAGACCAGTAAGTTTCCACCTTCTGCTCTGACTGTGATGATCCACTTTGAAATGGTCTGACGGGTCTGTTTGATGTGCACAGAGGCTCTGGGCGGAGTCAAGAACCTGCAGGTCACCGATCCCACCACCAGCTCTCTGAACGTACGCTGGGATCCGGCAGAGGGTAACGTCCGACAGTACCGCATCTTTTACGTCCCCGCATCAGGAGGAGCCGAGGACGTGGTGAGACGTCACAGATTTATGGACAGTTTCTGATCTCAGGACGAGTTCTGTTAGTTAAACTGTTCAGAGTTTTATCATTCTCATCGTTTGATTTTCTCCCACCTGGTTTCTGGGTCTGAAGATGAATCCTGTTTCAGTGCTGATCCAGTCCGGGGACAGGACTTTACAAACTTCATTCATTCAGGAAAATAACTTGGATGTTTAGTTAAAATGTTCAAACTAAATCAATAAAGTTTAGTGTTTTCACATAAAAATAAAACCAACTTAGAGTTTTGTTGAATCTTTAGAGCTTTTATTTTGTAAGGTTCTTCAGAATACGATCAGGACTGGATAACAGATCATGATTCAGCATTTTGGTTTAAATGAAATGAGAACCATATCAGACCTGTGGACATGCAGAGACTGGGGACATGAGTTCTGGGGACAGATGTCTCAGAACCAAAGCTGCCTTTAAAGACACGTTTGTTTCTACGAGACAAAAATAATGATGTGTCCAGACTGTGTTAAGATGGGGGTAGAGCATCAGTGTCTGAGACTGACCTGGATCGGACCGGACCGCCTGCAGATCCAGATATGTCTCTAGATACTGGAAGGAGAATCAGACGACTGCAGACTGAAACCTGACTCTGATTCTTCTGAAATAATTAGTTTCTCTTGGTCCTATTGGGACCTGTTGGGTCCTGTTAGGTCCTGTTGAGTTCGGTTGGGTCCTGTTGGGTTACATTTGGTCACGTTGGGTCCAGCTGAGTTATGTTGGGTTTTGTTGGGTTACGTTGGATTCAGTTGGATCCTGTTGGATTATGTTGGGTCCTGTTGGATTATGTTGGGTTCTATTGGGTCCTGTTGGGTTCATTTGAGTTATGTTGGGTTCAGTTGGGATATGTTGGGTTTTATTGGGTTATGTTGGATCATGTTGGATTATGTTGGGTCCTGTTGGGTCCTGTTGGGTTATGTTGGGTCCTGTTGGGTTACATTTGGTTACGTTGGGTTCAGTTGAGTTATGTTGGGTTTTGTTGGGTTATGTTGGATTCAATTGGATCCTGTTGGATTACGTTGGGTCCTGTTGGGTTCAGTTGGGTTATGTTGGGTTTTATTGGGTTATCTTGGATCCTGTTGGATTATGTTGGGTCCTGTTGGATTATGTTGGNGTTGGGTTATGTTGGGTTTTATTGGGTTATCTTGGATCCTGTTGGATTATGTTGGGTCCTGTTGGATTATGTTGGGTCCTGTTGGGTTATGTTGGGTTTTGTTGGGTTATGTTGGGTTATGCTCATTGCTGGTTCTGTTTCTTTGTTCTCAGGAGCAGGTTTCAGGTGGGACCACCAGCACCGTCCTCAGAAACCTGCTGTCAGATACACCCTACACCGTGACCGTGGTTCCAGTTTTTCTGGAGGGGGAAGGTCTGCGTCAATCTGACAACGGAAAGACCCGTGAGTCTGGTCCTGGTTCTGATCCCGAGTTTTTCAACAGAACATAGTGATGAAGGTGTTTCTAAAAGACCTGGGTTCTGACAGAACATGTGTTTCCAGACTTATTTTGTACATAATGGGTGAAACTGGTGACTTTCTTCTTTTTTATATCTTAATTTTGATAAAACCAACATGAACTCAGCGCTAAAACAAAGGTCTGTAAAAGTTCTAAAGTTTTTGTCTGAAATGTAAAAATAGAAAGTTTTGGATTTAAAAGTAAAAGGCAGAATTTGTTGTGACATAATGCGTGGTGAGTCTGTCCCGCTGCAGACGACTGCAGCTGATTTTTTTTTTATTGGACCGAGCTGCAGAAACCAGGAGATGTGCACATCTGGTTCTGCTTAAAATGGAAGTGAAGAGTTTCTGCATAAACCCAAAAGAATTCTGCTCGTACCCTCACACAGATGCAGTAAAACAACCGTCCTGCTGCTCTCAGCGTCTGACTTCGGCCTCCAGTTTCTCTGCGGTTCTGATTTTATTTATTTGCTGTTTCAGTTTGAGCAGAACTATCCCAGAAAGTCTTTATTCTGCTGAACCGTCACCAGTTTTATCCAGGGTTCAGCTCCAGCTCCTGTTCTGTGTTTTACAGACAGATACCAACATTTTGGACTTTTAGGAACTCAAGTGTTTTTAATAATTTTTATCTCATAAACTCCGTGTCCACTGCAGTTCCCCGGACCCCACCCAGGAACATCCAGGTCTACAACCCCACCACCAGCAGCCTAAACGTGCGCTGGGAGCCCGCCTCGGGTCAGGTCCAACAGTACCGGGTGGCCTACGCCCCCCTGACTGGAGTCAGACCCAAAGAGTCGGTGAGTCCTGCTTTATTTCAGTCTGTGGACTCTTCTCATGACTTCCTGTTTGACCTGTTGGGTTCTGCTCCACATAGGTTCTGGTTCCAGGAACCATTAACAATGCCTTGCTGGACAACCTGATCCCAGATACTCCGTACTCCGTTACTGTCTCTGCTTTGTACGCCGACGCAGAGGGGTCACCGGTGAAGGGCAATGGCAAAACCTGTAAGAACACTGTCTAAGGGCTTTTGTTCCGGTTCTTTCTCCTGGTCTTGTCCCTGACCCGTTTTCTGGTCTTAGCTGGAGATTTGAGCTCTAAGTAACAAGGAGTTGTTTAAAATGATACCCTACAAATTAAGACTGTCTGCCATCAAAACAGGGACCTGAGACCAAAGTTGGACCAGTTCCACTTTTCTACCTTTAGTTGTATTTGGTCAGATGTTGTTAGCCTGTGTGGTATTTGTTAATTATAAATAATCTTTAAAAACCCTCCAAAGTCCTGGTTCAAATGTGTTCCCTGAAAAACTTCCATTTGTGGAGCCTGAAAGTAAAGCTCAGATTTTTCAGCTGTATTGAGGCAGAAAAAGAAAATCTGTCCTGACTGGAAAAGGTGCCTGTCTAAATGCTGAGTTAACAGTCTGCTGCTGGCTCAACGTTAACAGTTTTCCTGTTTATGGTTGCGTTTTTAAACTTTAACTACTTCACAACTTTTCAGTGTTTCAGCACTAAAACAAATTACACAATACTCTCTGAGCCATTCCTCAAAGGGAATACAAATGCCAGTTTTATACTTAAAAGATAAAATACATATTTTTTATTGTTCTGTAAAGAAACTTAAATGCTTATATAAACAGCAGCACAGTTTAAAGATGAGGTACCGAGAACACGTCCCTGTGGAACCCTGTTTTTACAGATTTCAATCATATTCTAAAACAGATGAAAGCTCTGTGTGGTGATATTTCTGCCTGATGTTTGTGTCGCAGTGCCTCGTGCCGGCCCCAGGAAAATGCGAGTCTTTGACGCCACCACCAGCACCCTGACCATCGGCTGGGACCACGCCGAGGGCCCCGTCAGGCAGTACAAGATCTCCTATGCTCCCATGACCGGAGACCCCATCACTGAGTTTGTGAGTTCTTGTTTTACAACACTGTCATCAGATAAAGGAAAAAAAATACAAAGACTGCCCTGCAGGAGGAGGAACCTCTAAATTCTGGTGTTTTATCAGGATATAAGGAATGTGAGCTCAAATTAATCCAAACTTTTATCACATTTCAGTCGGTCTCTTTGTAAGGACATCTGATGTTTTTATTCCATCAAAAAGACAAGAGCTGCTTGATTTTAGAATTTCTGCTACTAAAAAAGTCACATGATGTGTTGTAAATAAGTTTTAAAGTCAGTCGGAAGTTTAAACTCAACTCATGTCTAATTTATTTGAAAGTGACGGTTAGGACACATGATGTGACCTCTTGGTTTGGTTTTTATGGCGGTACTGGGCTTCCGGAGACGTGAAGTTAAACATTAAAATCCAATTCTAGACTCTGTGTGGAAGAAAATCAGTTTACTTTCAAAATAAATTCCTGCTCTCAATAAATCTCCTTTCTGTTTATTCGCTCCTCTTTTTGTCAGTAATGAGGAATAAATTTTGTTTTGGATAAACGTTCTGGGTAAACTTTGATGACGTTCTGCTCCAGCTATGCAGTGAGGTCAGATCCCAGGCTTCCCTCGCCTCCTCCGGCTCATGGAGCAGTCGTTACTCAGACTGATTACTGCCTGGCTTTACTCAAACGCTATAATTTGGGTCATAATGACATTATTATTAGTTGTGAATAATAATGTGGAGTGGCGGTGGAGACGGTCCAGCTGTGCTTCTCTGAGTGAAGCACTTGTTCATCTTGACTGATCCATGATCCACTGGTTCCATTTGGACTCAGGATGTTTAATCCAGTCATGTAGACAGACCTAAAGCAGACCAGAACTCCTGACCCAGTCCTGTTCGGAACTCCTGACCTAGTCCTGTTCGGAACTCCTGACCCAGTCCTCAAGTTGTTAGATTTCCCTGTATTTCTCATAGGCTGTAAATAATAAGTAAATCTCAAACCGGAACACAGAAGTTGAAGCCAGAACAGAACCATCTTCTCTGTCAGCTGGTTAAGACCCCACCCCCTCCCTTTAAACAAAGCCCACCTCAGTTGATTCTTTTAGTTCTTACATTTTTCAGATATTTCATAACTCATTTAGCTGTAATTCATTTTTTATGTTTAAATAAAGGTCATAGGACTCCATGATTGTGTTGGGGGTGGGGCTTAAATCCACACATTACTGCAGACTCTGGTTCCCAAAATGCAACATGGCAGCTTCCATAAATCAGTTCCTGCTGGCTCCAGGCCCAAAGGGGCAAGGTGGGAACAATTAAAGAGTTAAATATAAAAATAATTAATCTGTAATGTTTATTTATCTGCACAACACCAACAAACAACTCAGAGTTAAAGTTTCTCCTGAAAGGATTTTCAGGACACATGCTCAGTTTTGAATCTTTTCCTGTTACTTTCAGACGGTGGTCCAAGGAAACAGAAACAACGCCATGCTGCAGAACCTGTTCCCAGACACTCCGTACAACATCACTGTGGAGGCAGTGTACGCCGAGGGGCCTGGAGGGTCTCTGAACGGGAATGGACGGACAGGTGAGGACTGATCCAGGTGTCCCATCAGTCAGCAGACTGCAGACCCTGCTGCAAAAAACAACTCTGGTCCGGTCAACTTCTTAACTTTCTCTCAGACTTCCTGTCAGCTTCCCATCAGCTTCCTGTCAGACTTCCTGTCAGCTTCCCATCAGCTTCCTGTCAGACTTAGTGTCGACTTCCTGTCAGCTTCCTGTCAGACTTCCTGTCAGACATCCTGTCAGCTTCCTGTCAGACTTAGTGTCGACTTCCTGTCAGCTTCCTGTCAGACATCCTGTCAGCTTCCTGTCAGACATCCTGTCAGCTTCCTGTCAGACTTCCTTTCAGCTTCCTGTCAGATTTCTGTCAGCTTCCAGTCCGATCAAAACAACCAGGTTCAAAACCAGACAAATGATTTGATTTTGCTCCTACAATAAAATCGTTTGAAGATAATGTTTACAGCAGTGTTGAAGGGTCTTCTTTCTGTTGCAGTTGGCATGTTGAGTCCCCGAAATCTGCGGATCTCAGATGAGTGGTACACCAGATTCCGGGTGTCCTGGGAACCAGTTTCTTCTCCCATTCAGGGCTACAGACTCATCTACTCCCCTAAAGGTGAGGGTCTCACCAATTGGCCATCATCAGATCTAAACGCTCGCCTTTCTGAGTTTGTCTTCCTGTTTTCAGGCAAAGATCAGCCAATCAGCCTCTTTGTTGGAGATGTCACCTCATTCACACCAACCAACCTGCAGCCTGGAACCACCTACGATGTCAAAGTCCTGGCTCAGTATACCACAGGCATCAGTGCACCGCTCGTTGGAGTGGGAACAACACGTACGCTCCAGACGGCACATTAATGACCCGTTCACAATAAGAGTTGGCTTCATTAAAACCTGTCTCTGATGTCTTTCATCCAGTTTTCCTGAATGTGACCAACATCGAGACCTACAACGTTGGCCACGACAAGTTCTGCATCAAGTGGAGTCCTCACCGAGCTGCCACGTCATACCGCATCAAGCTCCACCCCCAGGACCGTACGTTTGCTTAGTTTTTTTAGAGGTCTGTACCAGATTAGAGGACTAGAAGTGACCTGCTGATGTCCTGGTCATCCTCAGCCTCCAGTTTAGGTCAACACGAGGTGACCATCGCAGCCGGTCTGCCCCAGTACTGCTTCGATGGACTCTCTCCAGACTCCCTCTACACTGCCACTGTCTTTGTTCAGACTCCAAACCTGGAAGGTCCGGGAGTCAGTACAGATGAGAGAACCTGTGAGTGTTAACGAGCCTCACGAGTCTATCAGATCCAAACTTTGACCTCATCACATGACTTGTGTTTATGACGTGTCTGTTGGTTTGTTGCTGTTCTGGTTTCTTACAGTGGTGAAGCCAACACTGGCTCCAACAATGCCCCCCACCCCGACACCTCCACCCACCATCCCACCTGCATGGGCAGGTGAGTGTGAAACACTCTGTACATCATCTGTTTGTTGTAGAGAGCTCAGTGGTGAGACATCCTCCTCCTGAGCCACTAGCTGCATTTCCATTGACCATGAAAATGCGCAAATTAGAATTTTGAAAATAAATTTGCTCAATGGAAACACGTCAATTACGAAAAAGATTACATTTTTCGACAAAATGTTTTTGTGCTAGGATGAGGTGGTTTTTCGGCCATATCGAAATTGGTGTTTTTCGCAAAACTGCAATGGAAACACTTTTTTCGCCTCTCAGTCACGTGATCAACAACCGGCTGTTTCTACTGGCAAAAAAGATGTAGACGAAGAAGATAACAGGAAGTAGAAGTAGTAGGAATATCACAATAAAGTAGTAAACTCACCGACTACAATTTCCCAAAAACACAGCATACGTAGTCGCTCCCAAGTAAAGGGGCTTGTCACTGGAAAGCCTCGATAAAAGATGCCGACATCTCCACTGATGATGAGCGCTAGTGTCGCGGTAGCAATATGCTATGTGTTTACATCCATTGCCGCCATGTTTGTAATGACTTATCGCGAGAACAAACGTACTCACGCGTGAATTTAATGGCATTTAATGGAAACACCGCAGTTGCGAAACTCAGTTTTTTTCGACATTAACAGAATATCGACAAAGTTTTGCACACATTTGCAATGGAAACACAGCTAGTGTTGCTTTTGTAGTGCTTCAGTTAGCAGGTCAAAGGTCACAGCTTGATTGGAGGGGCTGTAGGACACAAACCACTGGACCAGAAGCAGACCAAAGTCCAGATCTTTACCCATCAGCACATTGAGGGAAAACCATCGACATGTAGAGAAGTTCTGGTACAGGTCTAGAACCAGTACAGGGTCCCCTCAAGATGGTCCCAAGACAAGTTTGAAGTCCTCTTACATATAATCAAATGGGACATTTGTCTTATCGAAGTTTTACTGAGTCATGTTGATCCCATAGTTTTTACCTCCCTGACTCAGGTGTAATTAGTTTTTTCATGTCTAAAAGAACCATGATTGTATGGGTGGAGTAGGCGGAGTCTAAAGCACAACATCCCTGTAATCTCTGGTCCAAAAATACAAGATGGTGATAACAGATCCTGCTGGCTTCCAACCCAGCAGTGAGAGAAGGGGGTGGGGGGGGGTCTAATATAATGCACGTCTATGAAGAAAACCCAGCGCAGCACAAACACTGCAGCTGACAGCACAGTGGTGGAGACCCAATGGTTTGGGCTCCTTCAGTCACTGAGTGGACCAGTCCTCTGTAGACTAAAAGGTTTTAAAGTACATCTGTCAGACAGCTGAATTGCCCAATAGAACAATGATTACAAACACAGCAACTGATCTACAACAGAACGGGTCAGAAAGAAAAGACCAGTCCCTGTCAGAGTCCAGAACCGTAACCTAACTGAAATTAAATTTACCTCCCCTTTCTGTGCTATCTGACCTAAGGCCCACCCACCCCCCACCCCCAGGCTGTCTAGCTCTCTCACAGGTTGTTTAACTCAATTTTCCTTTTGTGTATTTCAAGCTGTTGTTAAAGGTAGCGCAACTGTGTTTGCTGCATGACCGGTTTCACCTGTTCTCCCATGTTTGTCTTGTATGTCTTCTTGAATGGGTGTTTCTTAACTGCCCCTCTCCCCTTCCCTGAATGTACAGCACCTTGTGAATTTATTTCTGTGAAAGGCGCTATAAAACTTTATTTACTTACTTATACTTACTTAAATCTGTTTTATATTCAAACTGGTTTCCAGCTTTTTTAGAAAAATCTGGCCCGAAGGTGACTTACATCAAGCAGAAATCATTTGACCTCAGAGCTGAAACTCTTTTCTGCTTCGCTTTCTTTGTTTTAACCCATAAAATAATCACTACCGATTGTCCAATCACAGTACGTTGAGTCGAGTTGATGAGGTCCAGCTGTGTGATAATGTCACGTTGTTGGGATCCATTAAGGCTCCTCATTGGCTCGTTGTCTCACCTCAGTGTGTAAAGGTGCCAAAGCTGATCTGGTGTTCGTCATCGACGGCTCGTGGAGCATCGGAGAGGAGAGCTTCACCAAAGTCATGCACTTTGTCTCCAACATGATCGGAGCGTTTGATGTGGTCGGACCATCAGGGATGCAGGTTGGTTCTGTTCAGATAGCAGAATATTTGACAGCATCTGGATAGTCCAAGAAGACTTGGTTTAAACCAAATCTATTGTTTGAACTTGATTTATAAGGCCTTTGAATGAGACTCTATTAAAACTGGTGCAGAGCTGATAAGATAACACCTGAATCTTTCCTCGCAGGTATCATTTGTTCAGTTCAGCGATGGAGCAAAGACAGAGTTCAAGCTCAGCACATATCAGGACAAAGGTGTCGCCATGGCAGCAGTCCAACAGATTCCCTACAGAGGAGGAAACACCAAGACGGGTTGGAGCAGGAGATTTCGTGTTCTCAGTGATAAAGATGACTGAGATCAGCTAAAGACGTTTTAACAAGGTTTCCTTCTGCTGCACAGGAGAGGCTCTCAAACACACCTACGAGAAGGCCTTCTCTGTGGAAAGTGGGATGAGGAGAAATGTCCCCAAGGTGGTGGTGGTGATCACTGATGGACGCTCTCAAGATGAGGTGAAGAAGAGCGCTGCCAAGCTTCATCAAGCAGGTCAGTGATGATAAGCCGAAAAACTTCAGGAAAGATCTGTGGCAGTCTGTTAATTAACTGAATCTTAGAAATTAAATTAATCTGTTTCCAGTGAAAACAGCCTGGAGGAGCAGCTTGATTTTAGCTTGTATTGTTACATAATTAGCTTGATTTTAGCTTGTGTTGTTGCAAAATCAGCTTTTTTTAGCTTGTGTTTTTGCATAATNGTTGTTGCAAAATCAGCTTTTTTTAGCTTGTGTTTTTGCATAATCAGCTTGATTTTAGCTTGTATTGTTACATAATTAGCTTGATTTTAGCTTGTATTGTTGTATAATCAGTTTGATTTTGGCTTGTGTTTTGCATAATTAGCTTGATTTTAGCTTGTGTTGTTGCATAATTAGCTTGGTTTTAGCTTGTATTGTTGCATAATCAGCTTGGTTTTAGCTTGTATTGTTGCATAATTAGATTTTAGCTTGTGTTTTTGCATAATCAGCTTGATTTTAGCTTGTGTTGTTACATAATTAGCTTGATTTTAGCTTGTGTTGTTGCATAATCAGCTTTGTTTTAGCTTGTGTTGTTGCATAATTAGCTTGATTTTAGCTTGTGTTGTTNTGTGTTGTTGCATAATTAGCTTGATTTTAGCTTGTGTTGTTGCATAATTAGATTTTAGCTTGTGTTTTTGCATAATCAGCTTGATTTTAGCTTGTATTGTTGGATAATCTGCTTCATTTTAGCTCGTGCTGTTGCATAATGAGCCTGATTTTAGTTTGTGTTGTTGCATAATAAGCCTGTTTACAATTGTTTTGTTACATAATAAGTTAATTTTAGCTCCTGTGGTTGGAGGATCAGCTTGGTTTTAGCTCATGTTGTTACATAATCAGCTTGATTTTAGCTCATGTTGCATAATTTGCTTGTTTTAAGCTCCTTTTTCGCATAATGAGCTTGATTTTAGCTCCTGTTGTTGCATAATCAGTTTGATTTCAGCTTGTGTATTTGAAGCATCAGTTGGATTTCAGCTCATGCGGTTGGGGCATCATCTTGATTTTTGCTCATATGTTTGAAGGTTCAGATGTTTTCAGCTCATTTGGTTTGATTATAAGATGATTTCAACTCGTGATTGGAGCATCAGTTTGTTTTCATCTCTTGCGTCTTGATGATCAGATGTTTTCAGCTCATGTGGTTGAAGCATCAGCTTGGTTTCAGCTCATGTTGGAGCATCAGCTTGTTTTTAGCTGGTGTTGTTGCATAATCAGCTCTATTTCAGCTACTGTGGTTGGAGCATCAGCTGGTTAGCTCAGGTGTTTGGAGCATCAGTGTGATTTCAGCTGGTGTGGTTGGAAGATCAGATGTTTCCAGCTCATGTGGTTGGAGCACCAGCTAGGTGTTAGCTTGTTTTGTTGCATATTCAGCTTGGTTTACAATTGTTTTGTCACATTATCAGTTTATTTTAGCTCCTGTGGTTGGAGCGTCAGCTAGGTGTGAGCTTGTGTTTTACATAATCAGCTTGATTTCCTCTCCTGTTGTGTGACGATCAGATGTTTTCAACTCATATGATTTCAGGTCATGTAGTTGAAAGATTAGATGATTTCAACTCATGACTGGAGCATCAGCTTGGTTTTAGCTCATATTGTTACATAATCAGCTTGATTTTGATTGATTGATTGATTGATTGATGCCTTTATTGTCATTGTACGAAGCACAATGAAATTACATTTAAGAACACCCATTCAAGAAGACACACATGAAAAAAGCAGGGGGAAACAGGTGTACAGGTCATGCAGCAACCAGCAGGGGTCGCACTACCTGGTGGAAAAGAAAAAGGTTTTCTTTTCGTTAAAAATAAAAACAGAAAAAAAAACACAGAAGGTTAGATGAGGGGAAAAAAACATATATCAATGAAATATGATACACTATGGAGTTTATAAAAAAACTCTACAAAGCAAGAGCACATTTATTAGCCAGAGGAGTAAGTGAGTTTAGAGGGAATGAGTCCGAAGAATCCAGCCTCAAAAGATAAACCCCATAGTTCAGCCAAAGTTCGGAATATTGGTGTTGAATTGTTCATTCTGTGCAGCTCCTGATTGATCTTCAGGGGATCGGATTAGACGGAGTGAGTGGGGAGAGATGGGGGAGGAGCTACAAGTCAACGTAAACACCCCGGAGAAATTAGATCCACGGCTTTCAAGGTCACGTGGGGGGCGGGAGTAGGGGGTAGGGGGAGGGGGGAGACAAATCTGTAATCAGTTGTTTGGGAACAGAAGAAGTGTTTTCAGTCAGGCAGACAATAATAATTTTTCATCTGCCTTAAGGTCCGCTGGTACCTCTCAATGTGGCAAATCCAATCAGACAAATGATGTGGACAATTCCACCGAGCCGAGCTATCAGTTTTCTCCAAGATCAATTCCATCTGGCCAGCAAAGTCCAGGAACCACAGTCGGCCTGCGACCCTCAGCAGAACTGCTTGCAGACCGAGTCCAGCTCGCACAAGGCAAAAGTCTGAGTGCTGAAGTACGACAAACCTTCATATTGGTCAGGCAGCCAGGAAATGGCCTGAATAGCCACCGACGTTGTTTTGTAGAACACCAGGAGACCACCAAGCCAATCTGTAGAATCCAGTGATCAGAATCCAGATATATATCCAGAACAGAGCAGAACAGAGGTCCCACCTTTGACGCGTCCGCCCATGGAAAAAATGTGTTCCAAATTTTTTTTTAAGAGTTAACCAAATCCATAAAAATAAATCCATAATAATTTTAGCTCATGTTGTTACATAAACAGCTTATTTTAGCTTATGTGGTTAGAGGATCAGCTTGGTTTTAGCTCATTTTGTTGCATAATCAGCTTGATTTTAGCTCCTGTTGTTGCATAATCAGCTTTATTTCAGCTCATGTTGTGTAAACCAACAGCTCCTGCTCTGATTGGCTGTGTCATCTTCAGGTTACAGCGTTTTTGCCGTGGGCGTGGCTGATGTGGACTTCGTGGAGCTGCAGGAAATCAGCAGCAAGCCCAGCGACAGACACGTCTTTGTGGTGGACGACTTCGATGCCTTCAATACCATCAAAGAAAACCTGATCACCTTCATCTGTGAAACGTCCACTTCCTGTCAGTTTCTTCTTCTTCTGTTGTAAAAAAGAGCCAGAAGCTTTGAGTCAGCTGATCAATGTTTTCTTTGCTCCGCAGCATGTCCTTTGATTTATGTCAACGGATTCACATCACCTGGTAAAAGACTGACTTAGCACAACCTGGGCCCTCCTCCTCCTCCTCCACACTCTGATGCTTGAGTTCATGTTTTGTTCCAGGCTTCAGGATGCTAGAGGCCTTCAACCTGACAGAGCGGACCTACAGCCTGGTCCCAGGGGTCTCCATGGAGCCCGGTTCCTTCAACAGCTTCACAGCCTACAGACTTCACAAAAACGCCTTCTTGAACCAGCCCACCACGTGAGTCCAGCTCCTGTTCACTGGACCGCCGCAGGCCTGACTGCTATTCAAAGCCACGTGTGGTCCCACCGAGTCCCGCCGGGTCAGAATGATGTCACTGCATTCCAGGAAAATTCTCCAGATTTATTAAATAAACTTCAGTTCCTCAGAGTTCCTGCAAAACATGGAAAAAGTGTTTCAATTCCAGGACTAGGACTGGGTCAGGGACCGGGCTGTGGTTCTGGTTGGGTTTTTGGAACTCCAGTTTATTTTAAAATCTGTTTCCAGAAAAGATCCAGAAGGACACAGAACTGTCTGGGAGAAGAATTTAGAACCAAGACCAGTGGTTCTGGACCTGGACTGGTTTTTGGGTCAGACATGTCCAGGAGTTTTAGGGTAGATCTAGCAGACGTTGAAGAGTTCTCATCAGTCAGACTTTTATTTTAAAGAAAGAATTTTTTAAAGCACAAAGAGGAAATTCCTCTACCACAGCTTAAAGATCTGGTCTGATCCGGTCTGATCCGGTCTGGACCAGTGGAACCAGTAGAACCTGTTATTATTTAGGTCCACTCTAACTGACGGTTTCTGTGTTTGTCTCAGAGAGGTCCATCCTAATGGTCTTCCTCAGACCTACACCATCATCATCCTGTTCCGCCTGCTGTCCGACTCGCCTACTGAGCCCTTCGACATCTGGCAGGTGTCCAGTAAAGACCACAAACCAGAGACCGGGGTCACCCTGGACCGTAAGTACCTGCTCTGTCCTCTAATCTGATCAAGTCCATCAATGGTTCTCCAGACCTTCTGTAGATCCATCAGGGTTCTTCTCTGGAAGTGAACAAACTTGACAGACCAGCTGGAAGGTTCTACAGAGTTTGAGTCTTTGAGTTCTGAATCAGATCAAATGATTCACAGCAGAATCTGTCTTTATTTGTGAGAGGTTCTGATGTTCTGATGTTCTGATGTTCTGCCCTCAGCGTCGGCTCAGACTGTGTCGTTCTACAACAAAGATGAGAGCGGTGAGGTCCAGAGGGTCACGTTCGACAGCGACCCTGTGAAGAAGATCTTCCATGGAAGCTTCCACAAGGTAACCTCACCATCAAATCCAAACCCAGCAGAACCAGGTCCACATGGACAGATTTAGGACAGAAAGACAGAATCTGGACTTTAACTGGCGCGGGTTCTTGTTGTTCCGACATTTGTAGCTCAGACAGGAGTTCTGAGGAGTTCTGCTGGGTTTGGGCTGGAGGTTCTGGATCTGGTTGATGAAATGCTTGAGGAACAGGTTGAGCTTTTAATTTCTGAGTCATAAAAAAGCAGACCTGAGGAACTCAGAGGGATGTTCTTAAAGACCAGATGCTCCCCTCTTCTCTGGTTCTGATCACCCAGAACATTAGGACCACCTGACTGACCTTCACCAGGACCAAAACTGTTCTAACGTCTTTATTTCTGGAGTCCTGTGGACCTATGGTGGACTCTTATAGGTTCCTGCTGGGACCATCAGCACCTGGTCCTGTAGGTGTTGGACTCTCATCCCCCTAACCCTCCTCAGATGAGTTCTACAGTCTTTCAGTTGGTCTTTGTGGGCTGATGGGACCCTGTGAAGACCTCCTGTTTTTTACAGAGTCTGGTGTGTGGGTGGAGCCTGCCATGTGGGTGTGGCCTGACGTATGGGTGGGGCCTGGTGTGTGGGTGGAGTCTGATGTATAGGTCCCCTGAAGCATTGATCTGTATTACTGGGTTGGACATCACCATAGACAAATAAGATCACTCTAGACTGAGCCCCACCCACACCGTTCACTGTTAGTGTCTGTGACAGCATGGAGGAGCAGAAACAGACCAAACAGGGCAACAGCTCACAGCCACCATAGACACTAATAGATAAACAGCAGCTGAACTGGATCTGTTTCACAAATTATCTGTAATATTTATACAATAAATTAAGAACTATGTCAATTTTGTTCAACAATCATGTAAAACAGCAGATTTATACCAGAAAAATATATAATTTATAAATAACAATGATCTAAACCAGACCTGAAGTCAGCCTGTAACTTAGACTTTRGCTAGTTGAAAAACGATGACTTCAGCTGTAATAAAGTATATTAATTATTTCTTCTTACTGTCATAAAAAATAAGAATATTTATATTTACCAGTCAACAGTTAGAAAATGTTCTCTGGTTATAGGATGAAACTTGTCTCTATTAGCTAACATCTTCTTAACAGGTCAGGTTCCTCTAACAGAAACCTAAAAATACTCACATTTATAATGTTATTTTACACTCTGTAGGTCTAAATATTAATCAGAGGACAAAGTAATATTTAATAGTTTTTGTTAAATTGTAGCATGATTCAACAGTGCTACACTCTGTATATATGCTCTACAAGCTAATATCTGCTAACCAGTTCAATAAATAACAGTGATTACATCGACTTTATAAGATTATTTTAATTTTAAACTGTTACATTATGTTCTGCTCAGATCACATTGAGCTAAATAAGATCAAATCTGCTGACTTGTGTTGTAAAATGAGACGTTTTCCTGTTTATCTTCTGTTAATAAATCCTTAACACAAACAGGTTTTCTGACATTATTTAGAACATTAGATAGATTATATAAACTGTAAAATATTAATAATCTTGTTAATATTTTTAATAATAGTTTTAATGACTTCTACATCATCAGTCCTTTCTTCTGCTCTGTTGTCAGCATGTACAGTAATGGGAAATCCAGACTCTTGACCGTTTAGCTTTAGCCTTTAGCTTCCACATCCGATCACATGGTCACCTGGTTTCTGAGCTCCAGCTGTTCTATAGAACCTCCTTGGCCATCACCTATAGCCACTGTAGCTAGCACCGCACCACAGGAGTCATTAATATGCACTGAGTCATGTCAACAAAACACTACAGTTCCTTTGTGGAATGTGCACCAATCTGTCACAAAAACAATTGTAACGACCTTTTTTCTTATCCGATGTCTATAAAATATGGCTTAAAGCTGAGAAAACTGCCAGTGTTGTGATATGTAAAAATATGTATTTGCCCAAAAGATAAATCTATAAGCAGTCCGGGAACTTTTCATTATAGGTTTTTGTTAATGCATTTACTATACAAGCCCTTCCCCCACCTAAAACTAAGACTCATGTAAAGAATAGAATAGAATAGAATAGAATAGAATAGAATAGAATAGAATAGAATAGAATAGAATAGAATAGAATAGAATAGAACAGAATACCTTTATTGTCATTACACGTGTGCATTACGAGATTAGAGCCACTCCCACAGCAGTGCAAATACACATTAAAAGAAATAGAAAAGAATAAAAGAGCAAAGAATAAAATGAGCTAGAATATGCCCATACATTTGATATGCATATACCTACATATATACAACAATAAAAAAGCACAATGAGAGTCAGTTGTAAATGTAAAACTAAAGTAGAAGAAAGTATTAGTACAAGTATGGTATTGAGATTCTATGAGAACTTAGACTTTCAGTCAAAATCTGAAATCACTGCTCTTAAAATAGGAAACAGAAGAATGGAATTAAAAGGTCCACTTGATAGATAGATAGATAGATAGATAGATAGATAGATAGATAGATAGATAGATAGATAGATAGATAGATAGATAGATAGATAGATAG